CATGGATATTACATCCTGTTTCTGACACTTCCGCTATAAATCTGAGAACTCCTTCAGTACAAGGAACAGCCACCTCCTTACCCTCTGCTCCTTTTTCTTTCTTAAAATAGGTTTAATAGTTCATATACATTATTTTATTTTATTTTATTTTATTTTATTTTATTTTATTTTATTTTATTTTTTTTTTTTTTAAGAGACGGGGTCTCGCTATGTTGCTCAGGCTGGAGTGCAGTGGCTATTCACAGGCACGATCCCACTACTGCTCAGCACGGGAGTTTTGACCTGCTCCGTTTCCGACCTGGGCCGGTTCACCCCTCCTTAGGCAACCTGGTGGTCCCCCGCTCCCGGGAGGTCACCATATTGATGCCGAACTTAGTGCGGACACCCGATCGGCATAGCGCACTACAGCCCAGAACTCCTGGGCTCAAGCGATCCTCCCATCTCAGCCTCCCGAGTAGCTCGGACTACAGGCGCGCGCCACCGCGTCCGGCCATATACATTATTTTAAACTGGAACTAATTTTATTTTTCCAGAAAAATTCTTTCAGCGTAGGCACATGATCTGGGTCATTGCTTTTGGTGTATCTCATGACTCCCAAATAGGAAGAGGGGAACAGAGGAATGAGAACAACTGTGGTTTGTCCCTAATAAAGCATAAGACGATAGCTGGAAAATTAGGAATTGAGTTTTAATTCCAGGTAGGATGTAAACTCAGTGAATATGTTTGGGTTAGTCTCTTTGATTTTGATCCATAAAAGTGGATTTAAGGGAGGCCTACTTATTTTCAGAAAATTGATGAGTTTTGTCTCATAATTCTTACTTGCATTTTAAGTAGATTTTACACATACTTAACAAAGTCTTAGAACATCTCAGCCCAGTTCTGCTCCTATAAAGTGGGCTGATATGGTAGCCAGTATCCCTAGTTCTTTCCATTCCTTTTTATGGTTGGTTTTCCTGTGCCTCAGTTTACTTAGGGAGTAGCCCACCGGTAATGTATGTTATGGATGCGTTCTGTGCTTGTACCCCAGGGTTCCGCAGATACTGGAGGCAGGTCTCTCCTCTCCAGCAGAGTTGTGTGAAGTGGTCGCAGAGGGTATGGAAAGCACGGTGAAAATGAGAAATGTGTTTCTGAAGGTTTAGGCTCTTGCTCACCTTCTATGCCTAGTGAAGTGCTTTCCTTAAATTGCTTTTTACCCAAGCACAGCAATATGTGAGGGCTACGTACATAGAGGAAGGTGGAAGACCTACCTTCACAAGGGTTTGTGAGAAGACCTAGGTGTTCTGGTGGACTGCAGGCTTACAAGGAAATAACAATTTGATCTGGCTGCTAAGAAGTGACTGCAATTGCAGGCGATTTTAATTAGGAGCTCAGAGTCTGAGGAAGAGACGTGGGATGGGACTTCTAATCCACGCAGGTACCAGCTCACGCCTGGAGCTATGGGCTAGTCCAAGGTGCTCCATGGTGATGATAGAGGCTGTTATGGTTTGTATTTTGTTCCTCCAGAAGTTGAAGTCCTAACCCCCAGTACCTCTGCTTGGGACTTTATTTCCATTTCCTCCTCATGGTAGGGTTAATATAGATGTCATTAGTCAAGATGAGGTCACAGTGGAGTAGGATGTGTCCTTTATCCAGTACGATTAGTATCCTTTTAAAAGGAGAGAGTGACACAGTGGGGGAGAACTCCGTGTGAAGACATGAAGACACAGAAGATGGCCATGTGACGATGGAGGCAGAGATCAGAGTGATGCATCTACACCCTGGGGAATGTCAAAGATTGTCAGTAACTGCCAGAAGCTAGGAGAGAAGCGTGCGGCAGACTCTAAGAGCCTCCCAGAAGAAACAACCTTGCTGGCACATTGATTTCAGACTTCTAGCCTCAAGAACTGAGAGAGAATACATTTCTATTGTTTTAAGCTACCCAGTTTGTGGTAATAAGGCAGTCCTAGGAAATCCGTACAGGGGCTTTGACAAATTTTGGTGCCCTCAGGTGAGGGTGACTAGTATGCTGAAGGATTCTGCCACAATGTCATTGGGGGAACAATTGAAAGAACAAGTGACATTTAGCCTAGAGACTTATTGAAACTCTGATGTCCATCCTCACATCTTTGAAGGACAGGTTTTGTCCCTTTAATTCCAGAGTAAGATTTCAGCTTCTAAAAATTACAACCGTCCAACAGTGGGCTAGAAAGTCCCTGGCACTAGACTTCTGAAGGATGTGTAGTTTCCATCAGTTGCTAAGATTCTCTGGATGTCTGTTGTGTTTATATAGCTCAGTGCTCATCTGTGAGGATGCACTAGTAAGTGGTACTTTTTTGTGGATCAAAGATCCATTTGCTTAGCTGTCCGTGGGATATGATGTCATAGTTTACTTGAGTTAGTTACCAACTGCTTTTGTTCTTTCCTCTTTCTGTTTGCTTTACCTAATCTATTGCTGTATACAGAGTAGATAGTATTGTGGACACACCCACTCACCCTCCAACGTTTATCAATGGCCAACTCTGTGTCAGCCATATGGACCACCCAAGAAGAGAAGAATGAACGAACTTGCTGCTTTATCCATTTTGATGTCCTTTTCTCCATACAAACTCAAGCTGCCCTGTCAAATCACATGGACATTTCCAGTGGAATCTCTGCCTCTTGACAAGTTGTTTCATTTTTTCACGTCTTCATCCATTAGTATTCTGCAGCTCTTTACCAAGCCAGCACTATTCGTAAATCATTGCACTTGGCACTATGGGAGGACATGAAGATGAATAAGCAATGATTTATGCCTGTGGAGAGTTTACCAGGTCAGCCCCCCTTCTTTATAATGGTTTCCTAGGAGACACAGGAGAGCAGAAGGCAGCTGAGGGTGTTCACTTACCTTAGTGTCCCAGAAGAGTTTCTTAAGCCTGCTAGTTGTCACCTGTCTTTGGGAATTATGCTCAAGAATGAGGTTTGTCTTTTTTTCCCACTACATGATATGAAGTATTGGCAAAGGCATTCTTCGTACTCTTTCAAATCTTTGACTCTTTCTACTTTTTGAAACTGGTTAATAATCTTGGCTTAGACAGACTATCTTCTGGGCTTGAGATACATTCTCTCCTACTTTTACTGTCACGTAGGCCAAGTTGATTTCAAATTGCTTTAAACATTCTCAATGTGAAATAGACTTTGTCCAGGAGTAGGGGAAGATGGGAAAGAATTAAAGTCCACAAAGACTAAAAGTAGTTGCTTTGTGCTCAGCTGAATGTATATCTTCCCTCTTGTCCTGCCTGCTGCTTTTATTTAACATTTTTTCATATTCTTCATTGCCAAATAAATCAGTATCAGCTGGGAGGAAAAAGGGAGGAGGGGCAGAGGGCTGGCACTGACCCCTGTGCTGTCCATTGCCTGCAAACTGGAGCCTTGACAAGTTGAACTCCTGCCAGCCTGGCAAGAGAGAGTTCATGCATTTCTAGGGAGCTCGGGGCTCTGGCTTGGTTGCCAGCACTGGGGCTGGGGAAGTGGCGGGGCTTCCTGATTTATCAATGGGTCTGAGCCCACAGCTCACTCCCTCTTTCTGGCTAAGAGATGTCCTTTATTTCATTAGTGACCTATTTTTAGCATTGATGGGTACACATAAAGGACAGGGAACTTGTTGATGCTAAGAGAGGCTTGAGCTTGGGTAAGAATCCAGAATTTCAGTCACTTCTGCAGAAGCTTCAAATACTGTGAGGATTTCGATTCACCCATCACCCAGCTTCCCTATTTCAACCTCCACTGCCACGACCTCTGGATCACAGGGCTGAAGGAATGTCCAGAAGTACAGTGTTATACCTGAGCAACAATGCCATCCACTCCTTCAGGGATACAATTGTCCCTCTGCCTTGGTAGGACTGTGCCCCCTGCACGGCTCTGAAAGCCACCACTAATAGCCAGTTGCATCAACACCTACCAGACAGAATGCCTTGGGTAAGCCACCACTCATCACCGTCCACTCCAAGTAGAGTGTCCATCTTGCTATGCTATATATTTCTGACTCTTGAGAGCAAAAGGGAAAGAAATTTTAGAAAAGTAGCTGGGCAAACCCAATTCTGTGTGCTTAATCACCCCTCCCTATTCCCTACTTTTAAGTACTTATTCCAAGGACACACATAGGGCAGAGTGGAGAAATCTAGGGCCCACGACGCTAACCACACTTCCATATCAGCCAGCATGTGACACATCCCTCCGTTCATAAAAACTATCCCCAATTGGCAAATGTCCCTGAAGACTTAAACTAGGGAGGTGATATTTATTATTCTTGGTAGCTTTTGGACAAAAGTGTTTCTTTTCTTTTTCAGTTCAATTCATTCATAGCTCTTCATTTTTTTTTTTTTTTTGGTGATGACAGGTTTAACAGTTGACCCACCTTATCCTTAACTTTGAGATTAACAGCTGACACTTTAATTTTTTAAAGAGTTACCAGCTGACCTGCCTTAAAATGTGACAGGCCACATGCTAACCTAAGCATAATACAGCACAACCATGACTTCCTCAGCTCATCTGGAGAAAGAAAATACATATTTAGTATAAAGAGAAGATATAAGCAATGGAACAGTTGGTTATACATTACAGACTGTAATAAATGAAAATATCGAGTGCATTTTAAATGATTAATGTATGAAAACTGTCATCACTTACTGTGCATTAATCAAGAAAAAATGCACACTTCCCATAGTGGTTAATGTTGCAGGCCCATTGTTCAGCTTTGATAATGTGCATAATAATGCTCAGTATGACAATGAGTTGGGGTAGCTGAAAATTTAGGATGGTTGCAAGTTTGGTGTAGTATTTGGATTAGCATCTTAATCTGTGCCTTGTCAGCCTCATCAGTACATAAACTATGTATTTTTTTTTCCAAAACTAGCAAAATTATGGATGCATTTTTTTTTTTTTTACTTTTTTAAATAAGGAAAAATGACCAAGGTACCTGCTTAAACAAATACTACCAGCATTCATTAGTTAGGATGGTTACATGTAAAAGAAATGATGCCAGATAGTAACAAATCCAAGAGAAGTTTATTATGAAAATGGCACCTGCGGATGAAAAAATTAAGTTACATAAAGACAACCATGTATGTGACATGTATGAGAATCTACAAAAGTATAAAAAGAACCCTGTTGTAAATGAAGTATGTACATTTCTGATTTGCAGCATTATCAATGGTCAATGAAAAAAAATGTTTCAAAATAAGCCAGGCACTCAGGAAGTTAGGTCCGGTTAGCTTCACACAAAACAAATGTACCATAGCTGTCGCTTTGTAACGTTTTAATTATTTTTTTATATATATATCGTAGAGTTGGTAACACTGCTAAGATTTTTACGAACAGAATATCCCTTTCCCCATTATTCAGCTACTTGGCACCAGTCTCCTCATAAAAGTTTTCATATATTTGTACAAGAAATAGTTAAAAACACAGACACAGTCTTCACAGGTAATGAAGTGTTTTTTTTTTTTTTTTCATTTTGTAATTTTAAACACTATGGATTTAGACAGCAGCTGTGATTATCTGTTAGTTTAAATCACCAGAAATCATTTTGACACAACACAGAAACATTTATAAAAGAAAAAAAACAGCTGTCTAGCTGTTCTTTGTAGCTGATAGGTGCATTCCTTTGATTGTTCGATAGCTAGAGTAGAGCTTCCAAAATTAATCTTTAAAATTTCTTGATCAGCCTTCTTTACCTTCTAAACCTACTTACATCCTTCAAGTAAGCTCTCTATTGAAATTTGCGGCATTTACCTTCTTTTTGTTATTTTTCCACCGTGATTTGGGCCCAACTCATGGAATCAAAGGTACTAGAGGAATCCACTCAACACAGTGATATTCGAAGGACAGCCGAGTTACTATATTAGCATTGCACGAATAAACAAATATATATGACAATTCTATATTCCATTACCCCCTCCCATTTTGTTTCTTAAAAATGTTGGTTGACTTTTGAAATAATTTTCTGTCTCACCAGTAATTGCTTTTATATATTGCTCCATCAGCCAACCTGAAAGGAAACCAAAGAAAAGCACCCACTGCTTATAGGTAGAGCACAAGGGACTCTGGGAATGTTAACAACTGAGGCTATATGGCATCAATTTATTTATATATCTGAGCATTATTCTTGAGTGCTTTGTGTTGCACTCCAGAAGAGAGTCATACCCAGAATTCCGTTGTGGAAAAAATGGCTCCATTAACCTTGAGCTAGTTAAGAGTCTTTTTATCTCTGAGAATGAAAGAGATTTTTGGAGATGGGGGAAGGAATGGAGAGGGAGGAGGAGGTGGGGCAGAAGAGAAAGGGAAGGAAAGAAAGGAGAGGTAGGGAGAATATACACCAGCAAAGCAACAGCAGGAATTTTAAAAGGTAAAACGGAAGATTCACAGACAGTAGAAGCAGCATAGGGTGACATTACAGAGGAAGGCCACCACACAAAAACCACTAACCCCCAAGAATCACTGATTCACTAGGACTGCAGGAATGGGACTGTACCACTCCGGACTAGAGATAGAGCACAGAGAAGACAAAAGACAAAACAACTACATTAGCTTAGTATATACTGCATATAGAAACACACATTGAAACTGCAGTGGGACTGACAGCCAGGGACACGTACACATTGTACACATTACAGTTCTCACATCTGTTATTAGATGCCTTAACAAACAGCTGCCAAAAATGAAGTGGAAGAAGAATTTATACTTGACAGTCATTTGGAGTGTTTGACACCACACTGATTTCTGGCAACAAAGACAAAATAGGATATTTTTTTCTTTTTCTTTTTCACTTTTTTTAAATTTTTTTTTTTACTTAATGTGCAGTTTTCAGTTGCAGTTATCTGTCTGAAGCTTATTAACCCATTCTTTAGTTTTAAAACTTATTGGTTTTCAACCCAGAAATAAGAACCAAAGGGAAATAAATTCCACCAAATCAAACCAGTCCCCCGAAATACAACCTTCCTTTTTTTTTAAGCAAGAAATGAAAAAACCCAAAAACATGTTAAATATTTTTCCTTCTTTTACTCTGAAGTGTTATTGAAGTTGCAAAATTAGCCTCAGTTAGACTGAGTAAGGAAAAAAGAGCTCAACAAAAGGCAGTATGTACCTAAACTGCTCCTCAAATCAGTTTGATTGAGTTTTCCAAAAGCCCCTTTAAAAAGGGCTTTACTGACCCATTAAATTTAATGTGAGGCTGTGTTTGTTAGTTGGGAGGTAAAAATTTTAAGTCCTGCAGCAAACGTTAATGAGGGCTTTGTCTTAACTAACCAAGGAGACTGCAGCAACGGACTCCAGACCAGAACAGAACACATTGTTTTTTTTCCAAAACCCAGCCCAGGAGCTGCATTTTGTATGAAGACATTACAGATTAATAAATGATAGCACCATGGTTTTAGAAATTAAGTTAATGTTTCAGTAATTAACATTTAGTCCAACTTTTGTTTTTAAACATTCTAGTCACAGGCCAGAAATTAAGTTTAAGAACCCAAATTATTTTTATGTGCAAGTAAGAAAATCTTAAAATCTTAACCATAAAAAGATAATTAAATTCTGCATAAAATTCTAAAATACTATTCCCCTATTTTTAAAGGAATTAGGAACAGAAACAAAAGAGAACCACCCCATTTCATTTGACTTAGTCAAACAGGGCACATTGTTTATGCTTGTCTCTTTCCATCTTGATCACATCAAGATCTTTATGGAGAAAACCCAATGGTTGTCACTCGAGAAATCTCTTGACCACAAGACTGAGTATTCTATGGCAGAGGCATATACACATTAAAGACATCTTAATAAAGATGCAAAGGAAAGCAAAACAACCCAACACACATCTCAGAAGAAGACAAAATGGCAGGCAACTGGTCGTCTGACCCTCTGAAGGTAAAAAATAAACATATCTTTACACGAAAGAATAAGTCAAGTTAAAGAAAGAGGGGATGGAATGGGGACCGTCGCGCGGAGAGGGGCGCTGACCTGCTCGAATTCAAAGTGCTAGAATTAAAGGTCTAAACGAAAACGCCGACGATGCCTCCTGCGGCGGACCCTGGCCGCCGCGCCTCAGTCCTCCTTGCGCTCCAGAGTCTGAGCCGCGTGGATGCCGTTGCTGTACACGGGGAAGGGCAGCGTGGAGAAGAGTCCCTCGGCCGTGGTGAACACGTTGCCGGCGGGCATCTGCGTCAGGCTGGCCGCGCTCACGGCGCCGCCGAACGGTCCGGACATGTTGAGCCGGTGCACGTGGTGGTAGAGCATCTCCATGGGCGTCTTGGGGTCGAGGCCGAAGCCGGGGCTGTTAACGTCCACGAAGTTAACAGCGTGCGCGTTGGGCAGCAGGTTGCCCTGCATGGCCAGGGTCACCTCGGCGGGCGCGTAGCGGATGGTGCCCGTGGTGTAGACCCTCTGCGCGGCCGTGCTGGTGGCGGCCAGGGTCCCGGTCACCCGATGCACCAGCGGGAGCACGACGTTGCCCGCCTGCAACCTCTGCAGCGCCTCCAGGTCCCCAGTGTACAGCAAGGAGTTGGACGAGCTGGGCCCGCCACTGCCGCCGCCGCCGCCGCCCGCGCCGCCACTCCCGGGGTGCTTGTCCCGCGGGGACGCCGAGAGCGGGGGCGACAGCGGGTCGGAGGCGACCGGGGCCAGGGCCGCCGCGGTGGCCGAGGCGCTGAACTGAGTCTTGCGGGCGGCCGCGCCGTCGGCGCCGGGCGGGGTGAGGACCGAGTCCGGGATGGCCACGTGCAGCCCGCCGCCGCCCCCGCCGCCCTGCGGGGACGGGAAGTGCTCGGAGCTGGGGGGCTTGGTCATGCTGTAGGGGGACTCGTTCCTGGAGATCTCCCTGTTGGGCGGGTAGTTCCAGATGCTGCTGTCGTTGTCGAAGTTGATGGGTTCCGAGATCTCCGTCTTGATCTTGAGCACCGAGGCACTGTTGGGGGAGGACAGCAGCCGCGGGGGCTCCACCAGGCCGGCGTCCAGGCCGCCGGGGCTCGACGCGCTGGACAGGCGCCGGCGGCTGGCGTTGCCGCCCTTCTGCCGTTTCCGCCTCTTCTTGCGCTTCTGGTGCTTGCTGGAGGCCTGCGCGCCCGCCTCGCCCGCGCTGTCCGAGTCCTTGGCGCTGTCGGACGTGAGCGACTCGCAGTTCTGCAGCCGCAGGTCCGACTCGCTCTCCACGTAGCGCTCCACCTTGATCTGCATCGGGCCCAGCGCGCCGAAGCCGTCCTCGCCCGCCTTGGGGTTCTCAAAGTCCGAGTGCTCGAAGCTGTCGTCGCTGTCGCGGCTGTCCGGGTTGCTGGAACTGTGGCCGTCGTCGTTGCAGTTCATGTCGTTGTCGCACGCGTTGCCTGACTTCTTCCGGTCGGGCTCCGGGTCTTCGCTGTTCTCGGAATGATTCCCCTTCTCGTCGGACTTGGAGTTCTCGTTGTCCTCTGCGTGGGTCGCGGCCGGGGTGGCGGGGGTGGGGGCGGGGGAGAAGAGAAGACACAGCGTTAGCAGAAGCGGCCTCCCATCGGGGGCGGGCGGGGGAGCAGAGGGGGTGTCGTATCACGAGCTTCTCGGCCACCGAGGATTTTTTTTTTTTAAATGGAATGCCTGGGCTTCCCTCTGTTGAGGGCCTGCACTAGCTGGACAGGTACTCGGTGCGGGCCGCGGGCCAGCAGCATTGGCATCACCTGGACAACTGCCATGATGCAGAATCTCAGGCCCCACCCAGCCCTAAGGAATCAGATTCTGCCTTCGAACACGATCCCCAGGTGATTCTGAGGCACGGTAAAGTTTGAGAAGTCCTGCAAAGATACTCAGGGAGTCAGATCAAATAACTGGTATTTGACAAGTATTTGTTCATTATTGAGAACCACACTCCCTCTTTCCCTTCCTTATTTTTCTCCAGAGCACTTGCTACCATCTGATTTTTTCTATTATGTCTTATTTATTTTTATTTACATCTGTTCCCCCTCCCCCCCAGAATATAAGCTCCACGTGGCTGGGAATTTTTGTTTATTTTGTTCACAGCTATATACTATATAGAATAGGGGCAGAGACTATTCAGTAAAACCGTAATTAATGCAATTTAGGGGACAGGAAAGCAAGGTCTGTGGTGAGTACCCCTTCCCTCCTCCTGTCTCCCTGAGGTGGGGTCTGGAGTAGAGGCACAGGCGTGTGTACACGCTGCAGAGCAGGTGCCCTGATGATGGGGGAAGCCAAGTCACCTGCCACATTTTAGGGAAAAGCAATTTTCCCAGAAACACAATCGCAGAAGATTGGGGAATGAAGCCTGACTGGCAGCCTGGACTAGAGCCTTGTGCAAATCATGTAACTTCTGGCCTTTCTTTTCTGTAGCAGAAGAGGTTGGGTTAGAAGAGATTTAGGATGTTTCTGCAGCTGTAAAATCCTATGAGCAATGTGCTTCCTGGCCCTAGGAGTGTCTGTGGAAGGGGGTTGTGGATTGGAGCACAAGTAAATTTTTTTTAACAACTTTCCTGTGCCCCAAAGAACTACTCAGAAGTCTGTTTACCCAAATAACTGGAAATGGGAAAGCATGGCTTTGTCCTGCATGGATTCAGAAAATAAGTAACAGTCCAGTATCCTGAAAGAGGCATTTATTTACCCATGCCATTAAGCATCCCACTAGAGGCTCAGTCCCAGTCTCATGTTGGTGAGAATGTATTTGGGACCCAAAGCCACACAGACTGTCTTGGCGCTAGCCCTGGCAGGTGCTTCCAATAGAGAGGCCGGAACTGGCTGTGGGGTTAGAGCAGGGCTCCTTCTGTATGGTCAGCGAGGGGCTGACACTGAGTGACTGCTAAGTTGGTCAACCTCTTTCCATATATTTCTGTGTATACACACACACACACACACACACACACACATATGCTTATATACCACAACATATATATAATGCATATATTTATAACAGATGCTATTTATCCAGCACACACCTGTATGTATTGTGTGTGTATATGTACATATAGGATGCAGTATACCAACATATACATGCGTGTGTGTGTGTGTAGAGACAGGAGGAGAGAGACTCAGTAGTCACTTGAAGGGACATATGTCTATATATAAATTTGGCAGTTGCTTTGCCTCTGACGATGGGCTTTGGCAGTTGCCCGCCCGGGGGTGTGACCGGCAAGCCGTAACTGCAGAACATGGTAAAGAAGTAATACCTGTAATACCTGAGGTGTCTTTAGAGTCTGATTCCGAGTCGGATGTCTCTGAGGATTCGGAGGTTTTCTCTGGCATGTGGGGGAGCTGCGCGATGTCCATGGGTGTGTCCTTGTACTCGGGATTGCTGTGGGGAGGGAGGCATTGGTCAGGAGTGCAGACACCCGTTCTGCGTGGTTTGCTTTGTACCATCTTCCCCCACTGCCTGGTCCCAAACTTCTGGAGTTTTTAAAGTTTAGAAGACTAAACATGAAATCATTTCTCAGCTCTTCATGGGACTTTTATGGAAGCTTAGAGTGCACGTGCCAGGGTACAGGTGCACCCTGCTGCCGTGATTGAATACCCAAATGCTCCACGAAAGCCACTGAAAAGCGTTTAAATCATCAGGTACCGCCGGGGGCCGGGGAGCTGTGCTGCTTGACGTTCTTCCCCGCATAGCACCTGGGGAAAGGAGGCTGGCACGTACTCTCCACAGTTCACTCCCACACCGCCCGGTGTGCCCTGTCTTCTCTTGGGCATCTAATGAGTCCATGGCCTCAGTGCCCTTGTCTTGGTCCCTTGATGTAGCCTCCCAGCTGCTCAGATGGCTCCAAAGCTACTGGTGGGGGGCAGAGCCCTGGGCGCCTAAGGATCTGGCAGAAGCACAGGTGCGCTTTGGGATGCGTGGATTATGGCTACCAAACTGTCAACACACCCATTACAATCACATTTTCATCTGCTCATGTGGTGCACACCTGTGGCTTATTAGCTGGAAATCTGATTGCAGTGGGGAGAGTCCCAGTGTGAAAGAGGCCCTGACAGAATGGATCTAACCCCATTTGCACAAATGTGCTTAATTTTTGTTCTATTTTAAATTCAGAAACAAGCCTTTTCTGGAAAAGACAGCATGTTCGGTCAATTTGAGCTAGTTGCCTTCTGGAAATGCCACTCCAAGGCCAGCCCGATGTATAAGCCATATGGGCTGATCTGAAGGCACAAGGAAAGCCTCCTGCCTCAAAATGGAAGAGATGCCTCTGCTGTCCTTCCGTGATGGCTAGCCAAGCACAGACCTATAATTGATGATTACTGATGCATTTGCTAATCTCTAATGAAATTTCTATATTAAAGAGTCACTATTTCAGTAACTGCTCTAAAACTGCAAATATCCCTGGGAGAGGTAATTCACTAAGATGGATTATCGGGCATTTACTCCTTAGTGTGAGTTAGCTTCAGCTGCAAAGCTTTCTTTAGATAATCAGATGAGACTAATGGCAGGAAGGTGGACTTAGTACTGATGCTGCCTCTGAATACGAGTCTATAATTCTATGAGGCACCGCAAGGGAATGGCAAGAAGACTCGAGGAGCAGTCATTTCACAACAGGGACTGACAGGCCTGGGTTGGGGCCCAGATGTGAGGGATTCTGGGCAGGAAGAAGTAGCATGAAAGTGTTGCTCAAGGAAGAACAAAAGACAATGTGGGAAAGAAAACCAAACTTCAGTAGTTGCTATTTTGCCAAGGCCACATCATTTTCTTATTAGATTTCTAGCTAGCTTGGTGGAGGTTCCTCTACTACAGCCCACCTACATTCGTCTTTCTCAGCCCAGATGCCATAGGGATTCCCAGATCCCCTGTCCTCCAACATATAGTCTAATCATTAACCTCAGGGTGGGTCTTTTGGTCAGCTGAAAATAGGTCTCCCACGTCCAAGATTGAAGCTTTTGAGTCTGAATACTGGTCTTTGATACCCCAACTGCTTCCTTCCTATCCATATGGAATTTGATGGAATAGAATCACCAAAGTTCATGAGATTGTACCGTTTATCCTAGGCTAGATCAATCGTGTTGATCCATAATTGCACAGACTGATATCTCCTTAGCCTTCTTACTTATTCCCTCCATCTGGGGACAGAGGAGGAAGTCAAGAGGCTGATAAAGCTGTAAGAAAGATCCAGATAGGAAGAAATCTCACCAAATGCAAGAAAAACCCACATAGATGACTTCAGTATTCTGTGTTACATCAATGTGGAATTCGACACTTCTCTAGCCTATGGTGTCCTGCTACCATTGTTTTAATTCGTAATAGTAATGGGTCCCTTTGACACAACATCATTTCTGCCTAGCAAAAGAATGTCAGTGCCACACTACCTCACTCTATTTTCTGTTTTGAATATGTGTTTTTATATCTTCTGCATTAAATAGAGTTCCTGTTCCACAAAACTTTATGTGCAAGGATTCTTTGATATCAGAATCCGTCTTGAGCATATCACAAACACAGGGCATAGTGTGCATAAAAACCAGGCCTTGGAGAAAGCCACATTAAATACACACACTTTTACCTTGCGAGAGAGTTAATGTAGAGCAGAAGAGGTCAAAAAAAGGAAACAGAAAGTAGATAAATGAAGACTCTTTTAAGTGGTGCACATTAAGGCCCTCTCTAGAGCAATAATCATTAGTGTCTGATTGATATGCTGTTGGTAGCAAGCACATTCATGCCTTCAAGTCATCACCAAAGTATGTGAACACACTCTGAAGGGCCGATGTGTTGATGAGCCATGGTTGTTAGCTTCTCTGCTCCATTTGGCTGTCGCAAAGAAAAATGGGATTCAGGTACTCCCTGTCTAAATTATCAGCCAAAGGGCACCAACTTCCATTCATAAGACCTACTGAAAGTCTTCCTGCTCGGACCACGTGTGGGCTCGGCTTGGTGGCTTTAGGCCAAGAGAAGCCAAAGACTGGAGTGCAGTGGTGGGAGACAGACTAAGCACTGCAAGATCTTCATGACAGGCTTGGTGGAGAACTGGAAAGCTGGCCTCGACTCTGACACCACACGGTCTGTCGGTCTTGGTTACGTTTCTGCTACTTTAAATCCAAAGGCAAAAAGTAGATAGGGAAGGAGAGAGGCGGTGTCTCACTAAAATTTAGGAAGCAGTTGAGCTTGGGCTCATTTGTGAATATAAATTTGAGGACATATTTTAAGAGCAGAAACACTTGCTGGAAATTGCAGAACAGTAGGCAAAAGAAGACCGCCTTCTCACTTTGTTTTACCAAAACCATAATGCCTAGGGAATCAAACCCTATGGAATGTGCTAAGGGTGTCAAAGGGATGCAATATAAGAAGAATATAATGTACCCTCCTACTTGTCTTCCATTCCCCTTTGCTTAATTTTCATAAGGACTGGAGTGTGTGAGTGTACATGTGGTGTGGATAAAGACTGTGCTTTGGGAGTGCTTTAGCTACAGGCCAAAGTCTGGTATTCTTTTTCCAGCCTGAGCATTTGAGGGGAAAACAAATCAACTTCTGCAGAGATGCCCAAATGTTGATACACCAAGAATTACTGAAAATTTTGCAAATCTGCTCCACAAGTCCCTTCCAACATAGTTTGGTCTTCTCATATTTCTTTTAATCTTGTGGAAATAAGAGCAGAATTTCCATGAGGTTTAGGTGCTGTCAAAAGATAATACAACATGTCATCTATTAACCATAGGGCTGCATATTTCATAACAGAGGCAGAAATAAAAAAGAATTAGAAAATATACCTAAGAAGATAATTCACCCAGATGATATTCTTTTCATTTGCATTCTTGGCATTAATAGCTATGGTGGCACTAGACTGTATCCAAATATATCCTCCATTCTTCTGCATCCAACGATAGTACTTTGTCACACACTGACCCTTATTCAGCACTGGGGAAAAAAACAAAACAGAAGGCATTGTGTTAAGACTGGGATCAAAAGATTTTCATCTCTGCAAAACTTTACGCCTAGAAACGGGAGTTCCTGCACCAAGCCAGGGGTGGCCCTCTGTATGCCTAATGTAGAATGCCATTAGTAGGACAAATGGAATCAACAATTCAGTGGGGCGGCAGCTCCAGAGCCAGGGTTACTGGCATTTGCAGCAAGACTTTATTCCGTTTGGGGCAGCCATGGTGTGAAAGGAAGAATAAAAGGACTGCAAATCTTTTTGGCTCACAGAACACCTAATGCAGTGTGGATATTGTCAATGGGTTTGACGTCAGATGGCAAATTTGTATGTGATTTATTCATAGCTCGAAGGGAGACTTCTTTGAGATTCTGGATATTCGAATGTTTCCAAATATGCTTTACCCCTCTGTCTTTGATCATTTCTCCTCAGTGTGAGCAGTGTCAACCAGCACCCTTACACATCTGTTCCTTTTGATCTTGTCTCACAGAAATTTATAATCCTTGGATGAACTAAATTTACATCGGTCAGTCGGGGGAGATTCTGGTGAGACTTTGCTGAATGTTGGAGCAAAATAAATTCCCCAGTCGAGTCAGAGAGAAGCACTGGCCTAAGGGAGGCACAGAATTGACTTGGCTAGAGCCAAACAGAGTGACAGCTCCACACAGACTCTGAAATATGGCCCCAAATGAAGGAACAAGTAAAAACAATCAGTAATGTGAAACGGTGCCATTAAATACCCACTGAAAGAGAGCTTTAAAATGCAGATGTTAAAAATGATACTTTAACCAAAATCTTGCCAAGTTGAAATTGATTTGATTTGTATCTGGGTACTCCTGAGCTAGTAAAAGGGGAAAGTGCAGTAAATCATCCCCTGAAATAAAGTGCTACGGATGGGAATGGTTTAAAAGGATGCCGGAAATGTGCAAAACCCGCTGTTATTACTTGGACACGGATCGCAGCAACTCGGCGCCCCCCAACGGCTCACCGGCAGGACGGCCACTAGAGGGCAGTGTGCACTCGTCTACGGTGCCCACTTTTGGCATGTCCTTGTCTCCGTCTGCTAAAATGAAAAACCTCTAACTGCTGTAATAAATTTGGCTAAATTAGCTGCTAAATGGTTATCTCAAGTAATATGTATTTGCATTAATCATCTTGCTCTAAACCAGAACAAGCCAGAGTCCTAAAGACGTAGTAAATTCATATTGTCCATTTAATTACGGCTAATAAGTGCTTCATATACAATAGTTTCATGAAGTACATTTTGATTTTTTTTTTGGGGGGGGGTGGATGGGTAAAGAGAAGTCACTTTGTAAAGGAGCTGCGTGTAAGGCTGCTGAGGCTCATTGTCATCACGTCCTGAGCCGCTTTTCCTGGCTCTGAAAGTGTTCAAAAATCATACCTCCACGTACTGTACCCATAAACATATAAACTTCGAAGCTTTTCTTCCATTGTCCCTTTTTTTTCCTCACAGTACACTAACCGGAGGGTTGTATAGTTTAGTGATCATGTCTTAACTGTTTGCTTGAAAAAGCCTTTGATGAGTATTTCGAATGGTGGCAAGTTCCATTCTGAGCCATTCAGCAGTTTAGCGTATTTTTAAGGCCGGGAACTGTCATCTTCTCTTGGTGGCGGGCCTCCACAGGTAGCATTGTGCTCTCCCTTTGTAGGCAATTGTAAGTTCTGCCATTCTGCATGCATGGCTTCCCAGGCTACAAAACTGCGTGGTGAAGCTGAAAGCAGTAAAATACTAACTCCGCCATACAGCTCTCTGTCAAACCGTTGTTGCATGCAACGAGATGTGCTTTTATTCAGATCCTCTCAACCTGGTTAACTATTAATGGAGGAACGACGGGTTATGTAATTCTGTCCACTATTTTCAGAGAAAACTTTGCAGCACTCCAGTCAGTGGTTGGTGGGTATAATTCTATCTGCTTTGTATCTAGAATAAAGAATAATTCCAAATGGGCATTTTTAACAATGGTGAAGAGATTAAGAAATCCCTTTTTATAATCCCATGAAGAAAACATTGAGATAGAAGGCTAGCTCAGCCCAGCCTGGCTGGGGATTCTGGGCTGGAATTTGACCCAAAGCAGGCAATATTAAAAAATGATCCCCTGTATACAAAGTATAGAAAGGGGTAAAAGGATAATGGCATTATAAAAATCAAAGCAGAATTTGCAGAATCAACATAAAGATGACCTCATCCCTTTCCTGGTAATACTTTCTCGTACTTAAAAACAAACAAAAATCCCAATTCTGAAATGGGCACCCAGCAAAACATCTGCTTCCCTGGTGGTCTCCAGGTGTGGGCTGAAAGGCTTCTTTGCTAACAGACAGATACTGTGTCATCTTTTTGAGTTAAGGCTGGATGACTGGGTCTGCTTAAAAGGATCTGTGTTTCCTAAGGAGAGAAATACAGTCCTAATTTATCAGGGCCCACGAATACAATAATACAGCTCTCTTCCCAGGCCAGAGGCCATCTAGCAAAGAGAGGAGACCTAAATGTAAAAGAGGCAGGGCCAGGTGAGTGTCCATGTGAGGGGTGACCGTAAAAGGACTGAAGAGGAAGGAAACCCTCAGGGACTCCTTGCAGAGTCAGGGAGCCACCTGGCTGCGTTTGTCTTAACTGTGGGGAATACACAGAACAGGTTCAGGAGCCCACCCCGTGGTCAGCTGAAGAAGACAAGTTTGCCCTAACCCAGAGTTTCTCCTGGGTTCAGTCAGACAGAATTTTTAATGGTAAACATTATAGCGTGGTCTCAGATCATGCCTCTTGCTTGGGGATTAGTGTTTTTCTGAATGAAACCCCCAAGTGCCAGTGGGAATCTAGGTAACTAAAGATGAGGTGTGGAGTTAGCACCCACTAAAGCATGATGTGTTGACCAAAATGTTGCCCAAGTTGCTTTGGTTTTCAGGTGGTTGAATGGAATTTTGCTTCTTTTATAATGAACAAGGAATAATTTTTGCTTGGGCTTCCAGAATATAAATTTATGATTTGGGGATGAAGCTTCTTTCTTGAAAAAAGAAAAATCATACTGGCAAATCAGTTGGATCATTCCAGCTGCGCCAAAGGCAGGATCTGACAGCTTTTCCTGAGCTCATGTGGTCCTAATCAGCTCAAGAAGAAAAGCCACCTTGGTGCCAGGTTGAAAGAGATTTTTAGTGTGTAATAAATTAGAGAACTTGAAAAACACAAAAAAACTTTTTTGATTCTCTTTAATCCAGTGGCTGTTGTTTTTATTTGCAAATTTTATGTTTCGATAGCAGAGAGAAAGGACAGAATATTTGTGTCGGTTTGTTTCATTAAAAAAAAAAATCCCCTGGTGTGGGGAAAAACAAAAATAAGCACAATGTTAGTTACTTGATATGGATGTCCTTCAAAAATAGTTAATTGTCCCTTGAAAAAAGACGGACACTCATCAAACCAGTAAGCCCAGGAGTAATTTCATAACCATATACATACCCTATGAAAAGGAAGCAGAGAAAGAGGAAACATATATGTAGCTTATATTTCACTATCACATCCATGTGATATGATCTGAATACTTCTAATGTGTATACTGGCATCTTTTCTTTGGTTATCCCAAAGCTTACTTTCTGCCATCCAAAATTTTTGGATTTGCCAGCTTGCATGTCTCTCACTAAATTCACTGATCACATCATAATGTCTCTAGAATTACATCTTTGGAATTGTAGTACAGGAGTTATTTTTAAGGATCTCAATACTTTTAGCTGGCCTCCTCTTAGATTTTACAAGGAAACCATGAAGATGGAGGGAGGATAAGTATGTCTTCACTGGCTCACTTAGAATCGTGAACTGTCCCAGCCATTGATTTCGAAGGCCTCTGCTACCATGCGAGTGTGTTCTTTATTACTCCGAATCGTAAGCAATTGCTTTTGGCTGTTACTGCTCTAAGGAAAACCAAGCAGCTGTTGTCAGCACCACCCCACCCCACCCTCTAAGATATACGTGCCTCAGAGTTACTCAGACTGTGCTCTTCAGAGGACAGAGGTGACCTCCCACTTGCGAGAACACCAGAGACAGAGGGATTTAAGCCCTCTTGGTTGAACTTTTCCAGCCCAGTTCGTGTGACAATTAGAAAACCTTTGGCTAGTGGAGTCAAAACACCACTCAGCCCTAACTGTGAAGGGAGCTGCAAATACAGTGCTGTTAAAAAAAAAAAACAAAATTGCAGAGTGCTTACATTGTAGAACACATGACCTTTTACACACACACGTTCTCTCCCCACCCCCAAGACTAGATGCTGAGTGTTATTGAATATATCTTTTAAAATGTCACCTGGTCTCTTGGTTTGAGCTTATTGGTTGGCACATAAGAAATGTACCACTGACGGAGAATGGTTACTCTCGCCCCGAATCTGGCGAACTTTTTTGCGGAGGCACACACCCATGGCCCTGCACACAGCTTCCAACAGAGAGATTTCGGTTTTCCTTGGGAAAACCCTGTCTGCAGACACAGACTGATAACTGAAAGGACACAAAGGAAGCCAGTGTCTGTGGCAGGAACATAATTCTGTTAGTAAATCAAAACAAATCAGTACAAATTTGCCTTCAGAAATATGGAGGAAAAAAGAGAACATGGTCTCTTCCTGTTGGGCTGCTCTACAAAATCAAAGCCAAAGAGTCTAAATAGTGAGTTAGTTGTGTCATAAAAAAGAAGGAAGCGGTCTAATTCAGTTTGAAGAGGAGATGAACGCATATCAAAAGCGGTCTTTTAGCAAAGTGTCTCACAAAAGGACATTTTAGTAGTTTGCATATGCATTAAAAAGCTGCAATACTTGGTGTATTCAGGTAAGTATAGAATAAATAGGAAATGGTGAGATCATCAGAGATTCCCCACTTGACATTCACACAGCTGAACAAAGAGCTTCATTATCGCCATGGCGCTATAAGGCTGCAGATGCAGCGCCATTCATCGCCTCCTTGAGGTACCTTCATCAGCGGCTGCGGAGAGCAGCGA